GAAACCTTAATGTATGGCAGGGAACGTCACATCCTTGGTGGTGTTGCTGTTTTGGCCCCCTGGGAGCGACCGTGTTGGTAGTGGCTTACAAATAATGCCGTCGGATGCAGAATGGCCATCCGGATGCATCGACGGTTGGCTAGCATGCCCTATCATTGTCGCTCGTTCTGTTGTTTCCGCTCTCACTGACGATGGACTCCTGTACGAGTGCGAAAGCTGATAACAATAAACAGACTGTTCCGGTGCTCGACCGCCCTTCTTCTTCACTTACACACACACCTAGAACTTGAACATTCGCCTCCACTACAGAAAATAATTCCTCTACCAAGCCGATCCAAATATCCACTGTCTGGCGGATTACGGTTCACCCTGGGATTTTGGGTGATTGGAGAGTTATGTTCGGCATGCTGTTTAACCGTGTTGAGGAAAAATGGCGCGGTGAGAAGCGGTTTCTTGTCTTTCAGAAAAGTTTATTAGTAAAATAATAGGACGTCTTCGTAAGCAGACGATGGGGGGGACGTGTCGATTAGCCACCGGGGTCTGCGTTTGTGCGGACACCGAGGCGTCATTAAGGAGGAAATGACAGGGTGGGAGGCATTGCTAGATGCCTCGACCGAACAATCTCCAGTCTGGCAGAAGCGAGACAGTAAATAAACTGCCTGAAGCAAGACCAGAAACTCAAAGCGAACAAAAAATGGAAATTTGCCGTACAACCTGTCATCTAAGCAGTTAAGTGGGCAAAAACAGAGCGATTGATCACTCAGCCATCTTTGAAATGGTGGATTTTTAACCGGCCGACTTTATCGTTGTTCTTGAGGCCATGTTTTTAAAAACTAATGTAGTCGACTAGGCTGGACAATGCAACCAATGCCCCCCTTCCCTACTCATGACCATCGGTAATGTCTTTCGCAGAAGCCGAAACAATAAGGAAATTAGAAATGGACAGAGCCATGATGGCGTCGCTCGCGTACAAACGGAGGACAACCGTTGTCATTGGTTAGATCATACGAGCAAATTAAATGGAACCCAAATTTGCCCCACAGAGCTGGAAGTGACTTTCGAACACTACTACGAACCTGCACCCAGGCGTAGATACGTAGACAATACGTTCCGATTGAGAGTGACCGATCATCAAGCTTTCGGAAACCGCATAACATCTTCCCCGATGTCACATTAACAGGCGATGAAGGGAGGCCCGACGCGGTTGCCATTCATTGGCGCTCTCGTCCCATAGGAACATAATGGTGAACTCAGCACCACGGCGCGTCGAATGGCGACTAACCTAAGTCAGATCATCAATTAGTATAGCAGCCACTTGCTGTTGCACAAACGCCCCTGTGTTAGGTTGTCCTTGTGGCGCCTCAAGTTCGTATAAGCCTTCGTCTGGCACATACAGCGCGCCAGAAACCACGTGAGCACCACTTCCAGTCATCTGGAACATGCGCACATGACGAATCCTACAAGGTTATTCGGCGCTCTGACGTGGACTTTTTCATCTATCATAATGCCAAGGCTGTCACCGTCTGCGCTGGCTGTGTTAAACCGCCTTACGTTGAGGACGGTGAACTGACGTCACCCCAACACAGTACTCAGCCCCAGGCAGTGGCGTCACCAACACCTACTGACGACAGTCTACCTCTTTCATGCCCACTGAAGGCGGGCTGTTGTACGAGTCCAGAAGTTCAGGGCAATACGAGTCCAGAAGTTCAGGCGGTGGCGTCACCAACACCTACTGACGACAGTCTACCTCTTTCATGCTCACTGAAGGCGGGCTGTTGTACGAGTCCAGAAGTTCAGGGCAATACAGCTGAAGTTCAGGCGGTGGCAGAAGTTCAGGCGGTGGCGTCACCAACACCTACTGACGACAGTCTACCTCCTTCATGCTCACTGAAGGCGGGCTGTTGTACGAGTAGAAGTTCGAGCAGAAGTTCAGGAGTTCAGGCGGTGGAAGTTCAGGCGGTGGCGTCACCAACACCCACTGATGACAGTCTACCTCCTTCATGCTCACTGAAGGCGGGCTGTTGTACGAGTCCAGAAGTTCGCGGCAATACAGCTGACCTTCCGCTGTTTCTACGTTCTTCTTGAGAGCCTGCCTTTCTTGAAAAAGATGTCGCGAACCGACGACAGCGGTACTACCACCAAGACAGGGGGAGTTGAAGTCCGGAACGAACCGACTGCCCGATGAAATATCCCACAGCCAGGTGGCAGCATTGCGATTTTGCGACCGTGGACCGTTATCAAATCGGTCCTCTCGCTACTGCACTCTTGCCTTTAGGTTCCAAGGTCCAAAGCACTAGGGGAGACACCCCCGAAGAAGTTTCCGGGCGCCTCTTGGAAGCCTGACTTGGCAGGACACGGCAATGTGGACCTCGTCACTGGGTTGGGATTACGATAGGATTAGAGTTGAGGTTAGAGTTAGGACACAAAAATAAGCACTGGAATTTAGCACGAGATCACTTGTATTTCAAGCGAAGGTTCCTATTCCCGCATGTTACCTCCACCTATACCGAAAAGTGACGAGACAACTCGTGAAAAATGAAGCCTGCCAGATTATGCGTGGTCAAAATGGTGTCGGGCGCAATTCAGGAACGACAAATCAAGCTCAAAAAGGTCAGTCAGACAATGCCATTGTTCCAGCCAACACTTTCAACCTTTCAGGGATCAATCCGTTATTGCACAGGTTTGCATGCTTGTTAAAAGAGAAGAAGCTGTTTGGAAAAACATCGGGTTATACTCGTGGATTTTCAGACTGGTAACACTAATTTGTTGTCAGACAAAATGAGAAAAGCAGTGGTGTAAGTATCGCAATAGAGCGTTAGAGATCGTAGAGGTTACTTAAACATCAATCAGTGATAAGGTGGGCACAGCGTTAGGGGTGGACGTCGGAGAGAGAGCGACTATGGTTATGACTAACCGTCCTGGAAGGGATCAGGGGGCAGCGAATCAGGGAGACCCCAGACGGCCAGATACAGATCAGCGGTTATCCGTTCATAATGGGCGCGGAGGGTCAGTGAGCCATACGCGCAGACCTCTTTGGTGATCCCCAGTTTGGCATGACGGTCGGTACTGCCTGCGCTGAAGTGCCAAGCCTTGGGAAATCCTCGCGCCGTCTCATGTTGGCCGTCGCGACCACATTGGTATTGTTGCAATTGAAGCGGCGATCGCTTTTGAGCGCGTGAGCAAAGAGGATGTGTGGCGGCCAGCCATCATAACCGGTCTGGCGTCATTGTTCAAGACCTCGCTGCCTCAAGGTCATTCGCCTCCTTGCAACGAGCCGTCCCAGACCAGCTGACCTGAAGTCACACGACAGACAAGTCGGGCATACCAGCGTCCACACAGCCGTTTTACGGGTGGGGCATACTGATGGTGGGTGAACCGATAGAAAACTAAGAAAATTACGTAAGATATTTGTTTTTGTACCGCAAAACTTTTAATGCGCCCACATATAACAATGAAAAGGCACCGCGATGATTAGAAGAACAAACAATAAATAAATTTCAATGAATAAGGCAATTTAAGTAAACCTCCGCTGGATAGTCTACAGCAGGTCAGGAATCCAAGGAAAGTTCAGCCAATGAGAATGAAGATGAAGATGTGAGGGAGTCAACCGCGCTGAAGTTTGGCGTACGGATTTTCGATGCCAGTGAATGCTAAACCAACGAAATCTAGCCAACTGGATGCGCACAATGGAATCCAAAAAACGTAAGTAATATGTAGATCCGTTATTTTTGGTGTACGATAACTGGGGAGGAATGTATAGATTTTAAAAATCATAAGTAGTTGAACAAGGGATGCCTAAAATGAAGGGCTTGTATATAGTGGTAAAGTGGGTCTTTAATAAGTTATTTTCCCCAAAATTGCAGGCAATGGGATGCAGCAGTCAGAAAAATAGGCAAGCTCATCCACGTCTTTGGACGAAAGCCGAAGAAATAATAGAGGAAATGAATTCGAAGAAAGTGGTGGAGTAGTGACGGGTAAGATGACTACTGCCAACCGTGGTAACCTGTAAATGCAGACAACTAATGGAATGACAAGTTCAGAGGCGTAAAACAGACGGATGTGTCTTCAGACGTCTTCAGTGCCGAAGGAGGCAATCCGCCAGAACTGTCTCTATATTTGAAAAAAACGACTCACAATTAGGACAGTCACAAATATATCGACGGAGTGCGAAAAAGACACTGTGGAGTGGTTATGCACTCTGTCGAAATGTGTGCTGCGTAGCCCTCATGAAGGAAACCAAACAGATCGGCGGACCAGGGATGGAAGTGAAAGTTGATGAAACCCTTATCAGCAGTATCGCGTATGGTTTGGCCTAAACGCCATGGAACTGAATGAAACATGGAAAGTCCTCCTGTCTCCCGTAGCTGAGACATATCCAGTATAATGTGTAATCTTCATTGTATAAGTGGACACTTCCGTATGTAATATTCCTTACATAAAGCGATTGCAAACTAACTGTCTTGTACTGCCTAAGATATTAGGACTGTACTAGAGCGATCGCTTTCTTGTCTGTTTAACCGAAGTCAACATTCGCGACGGTCGACCGATGCGATGTGATCGCTTCTCGGCTCTCTGAGCTAGCCTCGAGTTAAATAAATGCGGAGTGCACGGTAGTACCCGTATTCGTCTCGATATCGCTAGGGAACCAAAGTGTTACGACCACTTCTCGACGATTTAAACTAAGTTGAATGTATGTTATAGCTGAGATTAAGTTAGTGTCTGTATAGGTCTCGTCGTATGGAGTCTCCGATAAGCAAATGAGTATGCCTACTGAAACAAGTACAGTAAAGTGTTCTGTGTAGGACAGTTTGTTTTGGGTACTACAACCTAGCGTTACCGGGATCATTTATTCGAGACGATGCTGCGAGCGAGTTTGTGGGTGGTAGGATATCGGGGTGTAGGGGTGTCAGCGGTGGGTTCCCGTGAAGGTCGTAGTGGTCGCTCACTTCCTTGCAGGTGAGACTACGCCTAGCGTCCACTTGCTGGCACTCAACTCTCACATGTGGCTCCACGTAGCTGGGCTCTGCTCAGCGGCCACACCCCGGGCAACCGCCTCGACCGGCGGGTTAAACCAGGTGAGGGCGGTTACTCCCTGTGCGCGTTGTGCCGCGTGCACAGGTGACTGCGGACTCCGTGGACGGTTGGTCAGATAGAACACCGCGTCGGCGCCGTCGTGACGAGGCTCTGTCTGGCACACCGCTGGTCAGCCGGTTGGAGGTGGAACGTCGCATCGGCATCGTCGAGACGAGGCTCTGCCTGGTACGCCGTTGAACAGCCGGTGGGATGGATCTCCGAATTGGCACCGTCGACACGCGCCCATCTGGTGCACCGTAGGAGACCGCAGGCTTGCGGCAATGCCGTAAGCCATTGGCAAATTCGAGTCGTTCTTCCACTGCCAAAAAACTCGTGGCCCACAGTGGAGTTCGGCCGCGCCGGCACATCAAGCAGCCCTATTCAGGGGTCAGGGCACTGCTTCCTTCGGGGGGGCCTGGAAAAGCTGGCCTAAAAATTGCTGGGGAACCACGTCATCTGCTGGCGCACCGTGGTCGCAGACGCAAAACTCACGGTCGAAACAATCAAACTCGAAACAACCATAACAACAACCATACTCATTCTCCTTATCCTACCTCTTCTTACTCTACCTCCATCTATTCTTCTGCCTATTCTTCTCCTTCGTCATCTTCTCCTCCACCTCCTTCCCGTCGCCCTACTCGTTTTCCCCAGACTGACAGGGTGAGCCCGCTCACTCTGGCAGCCTGGAATGTTCGTCTCCTTTTAGACAATTCGATGAGCAACCGGCCGGAACGGAGGACGGCGTTAGTGGCTCGGGAACTGGCGCGCTACAAGGTGGACATCGCCGCACTCAGCGAGACCCGATTCTCCGAACAAGGCTAACTGGAGGGGGTGGGTGCCGGCTACACCTTCCTCTGGAGTGGTCGAACCAGGGCAGAGCGACGAGACGCGGGTGTCGCCTTCGCCATCCGGAACGACATCGTGGGACGACTGCCCTGTCTGCCGCAGGGCATCAACGATCGCCTGATGAGCCTCCGTCTGCCTCTCCGGAGTGGGGGCAAATTCGCCACCATCATCAGCGCCTACGCTCCGCCGATGACCAGCCCCGACGCCGTCAAAGACAAATTCTACGAGGACCTGCACGCCCTCTTGGCGACTGTGTCGAAGGCGGACAAGTTGATTGTCCTTGGCGACTTCAACGCCCGCGTCGGCACAGACCATACTGCCTGGAGAGGAGTGCTGGGTCCTCACGGTCTCCACGGCTCCAACGACAACGGCCTGCTTCTCCTCCGCACCTGCGCAGAACACCGCCTCATCCTGACAAACACCTTCTTCTGTCTGCCGGAGCGAGAGAAGGCCACCTGGAGGCATCCTCGGTCGCGTCAGTGGCACCTGCTCGACTATGTCCTCGTCCGAAGGCGTGACCAGCGGGACGTGCTGGTGACGAAGGCGATCGCGGGTGCTGACGGGTGGACCGACCATCGCCTCGTCATCTCGAAGATGCGTATTCGCCTACAGCCTCGCAGGAGACCTCAAGGTAAGCGACACCCAGGTAAGCTGAATGTTGCTTTGTTGTCTTTGCCTGCTCACCGTCTCCATTTCAGCAATGAGCTAGCTCAATGGCTAGACAACCTTCCTATCTCTGCCGACGCCGCCGCTGCCGAGAACGCCTCCGTGGAAAACCGCTGGTGTCAACTGCGAGACACGGTCCAGTCGACGGCGCTCGCCGTCCTCGGTCGCGCTCCCCGCCAACACCAGGACTGGTTCGACGACAACGACGCCGCCATCAGAAATCTGCTTGCTGAGAAGAACCGCCTACACAAAGCCTACGTAGATCACCCCACTGAGGACAACAAAGCTGCCTTCTACCGCAGTCGCCGACAGCTCCAGCAACGACTGCGCGAGATGCAGGACGCCTGGACTGCTCGCAAGGCTGAGGAGATCCAAGGTTACGCGGATCGGAACGAATGGAAGAACTTCTTCTCCGCGATCAAAGCTGTCTACGGTCCGCCAACGAAGGGCACTGCTCCTCTCCTCAGCGCCGACGGCAGCACTCTCCTGACTGAGAAGACGCAAATCCTACAGCGATGGGCCGAGCACTTCCGAGGCTTCCTCAACCGCCCTTCCGTCATCTCCGACGCCGCCATCGCCCGCTTGCCGCAAGTGGCGACCAACGTGGACCTCGACCTCCCGCCATCTCTCCAGGAAACCATCAGGGCCGTGCAGCAACTCTCCAGCGGGAAAGCACCCGGATCGGACGCAATCCCTGCTGAGGTCTACAAGCACGGAGGTCCCCAACTGATGGATCACCTGACTGCGCTCTTTCAGGAGATGTGGCGTCAAGGTAAACTCCCGCAAGATTTAAAGGACGCAACCATCGTGCACCTATACAAACGAAAAGGGAATCGCCTAGTCTGCGACAACCACCGCGGCATCTCCCTACTGAACATCGCCGGGAAGATCTTCGCTCGCATCCTGCTCAACCGCCTCAACAACCATCTGGAACAGGGCCTTCTGCCGGAAAACCAATGCGGCTTCCGTCGTCATCGTGGGACCACGGATATGATCTTCGCCGCCCGCCAACTTCAGGAGAAGTGCCAGGAGATGCGGACCCATCTGTACTCTACGTTCGTGGACCTGACGAAAGCCTTCGACACGGTGAATCGTGAAGGACTGTGGAAGAGCATGCAGAAATTCGTCTGTCCGGAACGATTCACTCAGATGGTGCGTCAGCTGCACGACGGTATGATGGCGCGAGTCACGGACAACGGAGCTGTCTCAGAGGCATTTGCAGTGACCAACGGAGTGAAGCAGGGCTGTGTGCTGGCGCCTACCCTCTTCAGTCTCATGTTCTCTGCCATGCTGATGGACGCCTACTGTGACGAACGCCCTGGAATCCGCATCGCCTACAGAACGGACGGTCATCTCCTGAATCACCGTCGCATGAACTTCCAATCGCGTGTATCCACAGCCACCGTGCACGAACTCCTCTTCGCCGACGACTGCGCCCTGAACACCACCTCCGAAGCGGAGATGCAACGCAGCATGGACTTATTCGCCGCCGCCTGCGAGAACTTTGGGCTGGTTTTCAACACGCAGAAGACGGTGGTGATGCATCAACCGACACCCAACTCAGTCACAGCCCCCAACGCGCCGCCGCAAATCAACGTAAATGGGACTCAACTGCAAGTGGTAGAGAACTTCCCATATCTGGGCAGTACCCTCTCCCGCAACACCAAGATCGACGACGAAGTCGCCAACAGGATCTCGAAAGCCAGTCAAGCCTTCGGTCGCCTCCAAAGCACAGTTTGGAATCGTCATGGTCTCCAACTGAGCACAAAGCTGCAGATGTACAAGGCCGTCATCCTGCCGACGCTACTGTATGGAGCGGAGACTTGGACGGTGTACACGAGGCAGGCACGTCGACTAAACCACTTCCACCTCAGCTGTCTCCTCCGCATCCTGAGGCTGAACTGGCAGGATCGAATCCCCGACACGGAAGTACTGGAACGAACGGGAATCCTCAGCATCTACGCCATACTGAGACAAATGCAGCTGCGCTGGAGCGGCCACCTGGTGCGCATGGACGACGAGCGACTACCCAAACGACTCTTCTACGGAGACGTCGCGACGGGTTCTCGTCGTCAAGGAGGCCAGATTCGCCGTTACAAGGATACTCTGAAGTCCTCCCTGAAGCGCCTGCAAATCAACCCGACCAACTGGGAAGAGCTCGCTCGCGATCGCCCGACATGGAGGAGAACAGTGAATACGGGCGCTGCTATCTGTGAAGCCAACCGCATCGCCGCCGCCAAAGTGAAACTCGATGCCCGCAAATCACAAGTTCGCCCAGTCCGCAACGCCGCCGCACAACCTCTCCCTACGTGTCCTCGATGCCACCGGACATTCCGGGCACGAATCGGACTCGTTGGACATCTTCGGATCAACTGCACCTCTCGAACTGCTCCAGCCATCGTCCCCCCGCCCGCCTCTTCCTCCTCCCGTCCGCCAACTAACTCTGACACTCCGTCTGCACCACCACTTCCATCCTCCTCCTTCTCCTCCACTGCCCCAGCGGTGGCCGTTCAGGCTGCCGTCTCACACATCGCCAACCACGACACAGCAACCGCAACCACCCCCACCCCTCCCGATTCCAGTGATGAGGATCAGGACTACACCTGCCCTCACTGTGACCGCACCTTCACCTCACACATCGGCCTGGTCGGTCACTTGCGAATCCATCGCACAGAGACTGGCGAACCAGTGCCTGGAGCACCAACCTACACCCACCGCACTCGTCTCCACTGCCCACAATGCCCTCGTACCTTCACTCATCGCATGGGTCTATTCGGCCACATGCGCATCCACGAGAGCGGAATTGACCGCAGCCTTGACACACCCATCCCACCGAGCCCCACTCCAAATCCACCACCTTGTGCACCCACTAACCACTCCCCAGCCGACATCGACGCCACCGACCTTACCACCCCTCACTCCTCCCCTTCCTCCTCCTCTTCCTCCTTCACTGCCACAACGACGGCCGCTTCGGCGTCTGTCGCCCACGACCTCACCACAGCCGAACCTGACACAACAACAGGCACAACCCCTGCAACCTCCATCATCAGACGTGAGGGCAAGGACTACATCTGCCCTCACTGCGACCGCATCTTCACTTCACGCATTGGCCTGGTCGGTCACTTGCGAATCCATCGCACAGAGACTGGCGAACCAGTGCCTGGAGCACCAACCTACACCCACCGCACTCGCCTCCACTGCCCACACTGCCCTCGCACCTTCACGCATCGCATGCGTCTATTCGGCCACATGCGCATCCACGACGACCTGCGGTAGACAACCGCCGGTCACACCACACATTCCCTCACTCCCTACCTCCTAACACCATCACCCCACCAGACATCAACCCCCACACACCTCATGCACTCAACTGCCGCCTCCCACGCAAGTGGGAAGTGTGCATCTCGACTCGGTCTCCATGCGGCTTCGGCTGCACGGGTGACTTGTGTCCGAGACTATCCCGACACGTCAAGCGTCGTGGATAGGAAGGTTGCTGATTGAGGCTCGCTCTCGGTTCACGCAGTTCGTCACGTTGTGTGTGTGTTGTGTGTAGTGGCGGACTTGTGGGCTGGGGACGGGCTGCAACAGCACCTTCCACGGCACTCTCACGCAAGTGAGAGACACGCCGTCCAACCCCCGTTGTGTGAAACCCTGGTGTTTGTGTGTATGGGGGGCCAGGTCGTGCTGTGGCGCGTGCAGGCATGGTCAGTCGACCATGTCAGCCACCGCGCCCATTCCCCAATCCAGTCTACTGACCGGCTCGGACAGTGGCTGGGGTGTGGGAATGGGAAGGGAGAGTGAGGTCGACGACTCAGCGCACTTTCGCCTCACTATAAACAATCTGACGCGCTTGAAGCTATCACGGTGCGCTAAAAGCCGTGGCTTGGAAGGTTGCCAACTGACGGGGTAACTTGGGCCTCCTCCTTGACCAGTGGTGGTCTGAGAGTCAGGCTGCAATGGCTCCTTTTTAATGTGGCCTTTATGGCACTCTCACCACAGTGTGGGATCCGAGCCAGGCGTTGGCGGCACGCCCAGGTGCGGCTTCGGCCGTGCCAGCCTCCAAATCCTTGTTGTGTTGGTTGAAATCCTGGTTATTGTTGTGTGGACCAGGGGGTGTGGTGGAACGCCAAGGTGAGGATCCGTCCGAGCCATCCACCTGCGGCCTCCCTCGTCTCCGGTCTTCTTGACTCTGTCTTGACACCGGGCCCAGGCGGGGGAGGAGGAGAGAGTGTAGGTAGATGAAGCGCAAGTCTACCCGCACTATAAACCCCTGCGCAAGTCACCGTCCCTGCTCCCACCGCTGCTGCAGCTGTGGGGCACACGGTGGACATCGTCGAAATCGACGGACGAACTGTCGTGTTGTGTGTAGTGGCGGACTGGTGGGCTGGGGACGGGCTGCAACAGCACCTTCCACGGCACTCTCACGCAAGTGAGAGACACGCCGTCCAACCCCCGTTGTGTGAAAACCTGGTGTTTGTGTGTATGGGGGGCCAGGTCGTGCTGTGGCGCGCGCAGTCATGGTCCGTCGACAATGACAGCCACCGCGCCCATTCCCCACTCCAGTGTGCTGACCGGCTCGGACAGCGGCTGGGGTGTGGCAGTGGGAAGGGAGAGTGAGGTCGACGACTCAGCGCACTTTCGACTCACTATAAACAATCTGACGCGGTTGAAGCTATCACGGTGCGCTAAAAGCCGTGGCTTGGAAGGTTGCCAACTGACGGGGTAACTTGGGCCTCCTCCTTGACCAGTGGTGGTCTGAGAGTCAGGCTGCAATGGCTCCTTTTTAATGTGGCCTTTATGGCACTCTCACCACAGTGTGGGATCCGAGCCAGGCGTTGGCGGCACGCCCAGGTGCGGCTTCGGCCGTGCCAGCCTCCAAATCCTTGTTGTGTTAGTTGAAATCCTGGTTATTGTTGTGTGGACCAGGGGGTGTGGTGGAACGCCAAGGTGAGGATCCGTCCGAGCCATCCACCTGCGGCCTCCCTCGTCTCCGGTCTTCTTGACTCTGTCTTGACACCGGGCCCAGGCGGGGGAGGAGGAGAGAGTGTAGGTAGATGAAGCGCAAGTCTACCCGCACTATAAACCCCTGCGCAAGTCACCGTCCCTGCTCCCACCGCTGCTGCAGCTGTGGGGCACACGGTGGACATCGTCGAAATCGACGGTCGAACTGTCGGTAGGATATCAAACAGATTTAATAGGAGAGGGGAGATGACAGGGTCTGGGGGGTAGATTGATGCAGCACTGTTTCGGGTTTGTTTGTCTTCATTCAGTCAGTCATAACCCTGACCACCACCAGTTGGGACCGGAAACACAAGCATGCGCACAGACACACCTGGCGCAGCTGGTCCACCACTGGCGTCTACCAGATAGCTCACAAGCACTTCATCGAACCGAAGTTCATTAGTGCCTCTCCACCCTTCATTCTCTGTCGCTGCAGATCGGGAATTTATTCACTCAGGAATGGGCGCACGCCGATCCATTGGCTTCCCGAAGCAAACAAGCTTCGTATGGGCGACAGGGGTCACGAACATGCAACCACCTACCAGGTCGAAGTCGGCCAAGCTATGATAGCAGAGGGGAGACGACGGAGATATAGCAGGTTTTGGTAGACTTTGAATAAACTATTTTGACTCAGCCGTGAAAAACTCTGCGACCTCGGTGGGATTCGAACCCACGACAGCAAGGTGGAGGATTGAGTACAACCAACGATTTAGCCACCCGGGTAACAAAGCCCCACCGGGCGCCATGAGTTTAATCAGAATCTGCTAAAAGACCTATTAATTAAGTCTGGTAGTCATCTGGCGGATTACAGACTGATTACTTACGAAATCCTGCTTGTGCAATCAACTTACTGTATCAGATTTGGTGGATTCCAGACGTTGCAGTAAGCTGGGCGGGTAACTTGACCCGATTGTGATTAAACTCACAGTTCCCAGTGGCGCCTCGTAGCTCAGATGGCTAGATCGTTGATTGTACTCAAACCTCCTCTTCCTTTGCTATCATGGGTTCGAATCCCAGCGAGGTCACCGACTTTTTCAAAGTTAGGTCGCTTTCAAGTTTCCCTGCGCCACAATGCCTCTATCGGGACCGCCGCCTTGTTGCTGTCTTTAGCGTCTTAGGCAGCCTTTCACAGAATTCAATAAGTGTTTTTTAGGCTGAAACAACCCTAAAACGAGTTTGGGCTCTTTCTCAAGCAGACTGCCCTGCTACCGTGGTGGAAGTCGGTAGGAAAGCCTTCTGACACAGTCTCCTTGTAGGCTGTGAGCGCGATGGTTGCGGTGCATGAACTTCTGATCTACAAACAACGGGCCGTCTCTTGCCGTGCCTTCGTGAATAAATTTTGTGGTTGGAAAGATATTGATGGGTCTCTGATGTAAATGTTCATCCATCGCACTTTCTCATGATGGCTGGGATGTCATCCGCATAGTGCTGCGATTGCTCCTAATACTGATCAGCCCGTTGAGGTGGCCCAAATTAGTTGATAGTGCCACAGTCAGTGGCCTCGTGACCTCATGATCTTATTAAATGCTAGCCGAAATTCTGAAATGCGTTTTCGATTAGGAAGGGGTTACGTAGGTGGGGTTTTAATACTGATTGCCGTGCGGCAGAACCCGATAATATTTCAGATTCGCCAGAATGTTGGCTTCTGAATACAGTTCTTTTCGACCTCCTATGAAAACCGCAATCTGTAACAAAATGACTACTTATGTAGCATGCATTTTTCGCAATGATCTTCTATAGCCTTATAAATCCAAATGTACTTTATAGAAAATATGCATGAAAGCATGCCTTCCTTTTGGTAGGAAGTCATGTCATCCTCACATTTATACTTGAAGACATGGAATTTTTGAAAAAGGGTTTCTGATTCCCAAATAATTTTAAGTCATCTCAACCACTGCATCGACGTTTACCGATTTCAGTCTATAAGGTGTATACTTTCCACATAAGGAAAATCGTATATTCCGCTATGCCTTAAAGAAGATGCCATGTAGAGTTCATAAAGTTTTGCAATGGATGCCGACTAAGTTTTATACTTCAAGATGAGTACTAATAAACGGACAAGTACGACACTGTGTGAACGGGCATTGAACGGTCTTAAAAAATCTCACAATTAGAAACTTTTTAAGACCGTAATGTACTCTTTCCTCAAGTATGCATGTGAGGATGGCATGACTTTCTACCAAATGAGCAAAAGGAAGGCATACTTTCACGCATACTTTCTATAAAATACATTTGAATTCTGTGCAATGATTTACCGTACTAACAACACAGGTATTAGCTAAAAGCCCAGATACGCGTGTTTCGTCGATCTTATGCCGCTGCCCGACGCAGCTGCGAGGCTTTTAGCTAATACCTGTGTTGTTAGTACGGTAAACCATTGCACAGATCTATACTAGTGGCTGCCTGTTGGCGGTTTGTGAATATTAAGCGGTTATTCCGCAGTAGCTGACGGATTTCAGCTCAAATATTCATATCAAAATTTGGAGCGTGCCTGAAAAGGCCCGTTTCGAAAGATTTACTCCAAGTTCGAGCATTACTTTCCTCGGAAATTAAACAAAACATTTGAATTCATCAGGCTATCGAAGACTATTGTGAAAAATGCATGCTACTCAAGTAGCCATTTTGTTACCGATTGCGGTTTTTACAGGAGGTCGAAAAGAACTGTATTCAGAAGCCAACCTCCTGGCGAATCCGAAATATTATTGGGTTATGCCGCACGGCAATCATTATTAAAACCCCACCTAAGTAATCCCTCCTAATCGAAAACGCATTTGAGAATTTCGGCTAGCATTTCATGAGATCACGAGGTCACTGACAGGAATTCCGAATTTGCAGTAATACTCCAGAAAGAGGTTGAGTAATTATGACTCATGGTGAGTCTATATGCCAATAAGATCGTTAGACTACGCTCTCGTTTGCCATGTCATGTGGTATTGAGAAAAAAGGGGCAACGACGTCAAAGGACAAAATACAACCATCATAACTCACTTTGAGTTCTTGGATGCATTGAAGGGCTTTAATGTAGCCCCTCACTTTGGTACTTTAGATGTCCGGGAACAAATCGACAAGATTATGCATGAATAATTCGATGATGGCGCTATAGTCCTTAATGATGCATTTTTTTCCTTTCGGCACCTGTAGAAGGCCATGCGCATGCAGTATACTGGATCACTGAGGGTCATCAACTTGGAGTCATCGGCCCTTATGGATTTTGACCGAGTGCCACTTTATTTTTTTTCTTTTTTTACTTTTTATCTTTTTTCTTGACAGCTTCT